AGGGAGGAGGGAGGAGGGAGGAGGGAGGGAGGGAGGGAGGAGGAGGGAGAGAGAGGAGAGAGGGAGCGAGGGAGGGAGGGAGGGAGGGAGGGAGGGAGGGAGGGAGAGGGAGAGGGAGAGGGAGAGGGAGAGGGAGAGGGAGAGAGAGAGAGAGAGAGAGAGAGAGAGAGAGAGAGAGAGAGGAGAGGAGGAGAGGAGAGGAGAGGAGAGAGGGAGAGAGAGAGAGAACTCGGTTTCACACACACACACACATTTATTTATATAACACACGTGCAAATCATAATGAACACCCAATCCTCAAAGAATACATCGTAAAAACTTAAATTCATAAAATAACATCTCTTTATAAGAAAAATGCCACGCTCAATAAACTCCGAAATGGACAATAGATGATCAAATAAAAATGATGGCTTTAAAAAATGTCTCACACTTAATTCAGCGAGGAAACGCGGTTGCAAACCCTGCAATGATAGAAATAACACGCTCATTCTACCTTGCGTTATTAATTGTCACTGAGATAACGTAACGTTGCCAAACACTGACTTATATGACGTTCCTACTTTACGGTGTATGTTATTGTGAATGTTACTTGTCAATAAATTAAACTGTTTGTTCGTCTGTGCAACTTTGAGTTTTGAGTTTTAATGTGGCAGTCTGAAAATGTTCTTTTGTCATGCGATTAGTTAGCACATTCTTCTGACAATCCATGCTGATTATCAATAGTCGTTAACAAGAGAAGTATGTGTATACACGTCGTTAAGAAAATAACTGATGGAATGTATTAAGTCGAGGAAATTATTCTTCCTCATTTATGACTCCCTAACTCATGGGTGGTATGAACCCGTTTTAAAACACACACACACACACACACACACACACACACACACACACACACACACACACACACACACACACACACACTAATTGCAGTGACAATGTGAACGCGTCGATGAAGGTGAAAAATAAATAGATCTCCCCGAGGCAGGACCTCACAGTGGGAAACATGGCTAATTGCTCGATAAAAAATTGCTTTACGGCTGTTACGTGTCCAGAGAGAACAGCAGTAAAGTCACAACCGCGATGACTGTCTCTGTGTCGGACGCGAAGGCCAACGGAGCACACGACTTTCCTGAAGGACTCGGAATTCCTGAAGTCCTTCTGGCGCTCCGGCAAAGGCTCTGGAAAAGCCCGCCGATCCCCGTGCAATGCGAGGTATTCCAGCACAAAGAAAATTTTATTAGCGATTAAAAAAAGAAGGTAATGGCGTGATAATATGGCCATTTTTTTCAGTAACAATCTTTCTATTTATAACTACTTTTCTATCTATATTACAGACTTGTGCGCATAGTGGCCTAGGTGCCGAAAGAGATGACGTCAATGATAACATTTTCCCCTTAGTATCTACACAGATATTCTCCTCTCTTAACGAAAACCCCATAAAGAAAAACAAATAACGCCGAAAAAAATAAACGACTATCTTTCATTAACGAAGGTGATAAGAGAGAAAGATTTTTAAATAAAGGCCCCGTGTGTCTGTGCATTCCTAGCCGATGGGACGATAAACTGATCGCCATTATAACTGCACTTCAATTCCTGGCTCCACTTAGGCGCCTCACGCTCTCCAACAGCACACGAGGAAATGGCTGATTCAAGAATTAGCCCAAACAATTAACCGTGCAGTCACGCGATCCGTAAATAAATGCTATAATCTACATTCTACCTCTACCTTTTATACAACACCCTCCCACCCCTCTCCCAGCCCCAATCCCCCCTACCCCTCCCCTTGGAACATCCCATCGGAAGTGATGGTCTGTTTAACAACGGCTAAGGAGAACGGAGCCTATGTTAGGGTCCTTCAAGGATTGTGCTCCTGTTTAAAAATCTTCGTTTGATATTTTGATATATTGACAGTGGTCATCGTTATCAATGAAATTATTCCATCGCCACAATCATGAAAAACAATATCAAACAATAAAATAGATATTAAGTAAGTGATTAATATTCACAATAACTAGTGTAATACAAGTAATGATGAACAATATAGCTTATGATAATAAAGATGATAACGAAAAATATATCAATAACAATAAGAATAACAACGATAATGAAAACAATGATGATAATATAACAAAAAGAATATTGACAACTACTGAGGATAAACAATATCAACAATACTAATGATTTTGATAATATTTATACCGGTACTGCTCTTATCATAGTTATTATCATCTCATTACTAATATCCTTGTTATTGACGTTATCATTGATATTATTGTTGTTGACTTTGCTATATTTATTATCACTATCATTATCATTATCACTGTCATCATTATTATGATTAATTTAAATTTTTATTATATATCATTTTATCATGGTCATTACCATTATTATTTTTCATCATTATCATTATTACTGTTATCATTATCATTATTATTATAATTATTATAGTCATAATGATTATCATTACTATCATTCGCATTATGATATTCATTATTATTATTGTAATCCTCGTTCTTCTAATAATTATTGTCATTATGATCATGATCGCACACATACACAGACACACACACATACACACACACACACGCGCGCGCGCGGGCGCGCGATGTGTATATATACAAATACACGGTCATATAGACAGACAGACAAATATATATATATATATATATATATATATATATATATATATATATATAATACCTACCAATACCACATTATTATGTGACTTTACACATACATACACGGTCATACAGTAAGCAAACGTAAATCTATTTTTTTTGTAAGAAAAATCTGAATAAATGATTCACTGAATATTATCCATTTACCATCTATTTTATATATAGACATATATATCGGATTGTCTAATACCTGTCTAATTAATATAATAAAATAAATCCCAGAAAATGAACCCCTAAATATATAGGATCTACTGTAAATATATGAGACTAAATAATAGTAATAATAACATGGAGAGAGAGAGAGAGAGAGAGAGAGAGAGAGAGAGAGAGAGAGAGAGAGAGAGAGAGAGAGAGAGAGAGAGAGAGAGAGAGAGAGAGAGAGGAAACATAACCTAAACGAAGTGATTAAAGTATCACCTGTTTCACTCGCGTCCAAACGAGCTATACATCGTAATGAGAGGAGGTAGTCTTTCCCAGGCGGTAATTCGGTGTCCGTAACAGCCTGCCTCGGGTTAAATACATGTACCGGTGTCCTACCTACTTCCGGATGGTATACTGGGTGTCGGATGTCTCTCTGCCCTTTCCTTTCTCCTTTTCTGTTTCCTTCTATTCCTCTTTTTTTCTTGTCTTTCTCTATACTCCCTCTCTTTTTTCTTTTCTTTATTCCTCGGAGTTCTTTCTTGTTTCGTTTTCCCTCTTCCCGTTTCTTTCTTCTCGTTCAAAGAGGAGAGAGTAATGGAGGACGAAGGCAAACAGAAAGGAAAATTACAGTCATAATGTTCTTTGCTCCCTGATTATAAGACAAACTCAAATGAGAATAAGCCACTCATTTCCTAAATTATCGCCTATTCATCTTTTATCATACTAATCACTCAGTCTAATCATCATAAGTACAAATGAACGCTATGCACTTCAATACAAATCTCTGTGGTTCACGAAGTCAGATTAAGCCGGAGTATGAATCTGACAAGCGGCTGCACTCTTCTGCGAGTCTCGGCGTATTACGTATAGTTTTAAAACAGACTTTGGCAATGCAGCGTCTTAAAACCACATGTGAGAGGTTCATGGCAAAATTGAAGGGGAGGGAGGACTGCTGTTATAATGCCAGGGATTGTGGTTGTTGACAAGAATAACATCAGGCTTAGTTACATGTTTGCCACCGAGGAAGTCCAGGTCTTAGCGGAGCGTAACACATGTTCAGGGAAGAGAGAAAAAACATCGACGGTAATTCCTGGTGTTGGAAGTGCACGCGTTTGCTTCGGATCTGGCGACCAAGTTCAAGACAAAATTCATCTCTCGGTCTCCACTTTTCCGTCAATTTGTAAAACAATCACCCCTGAGCTTCTTTCTAATCTTTCTTTTCCTTTTAATCTCATGTTGGTTTCATTTCTCTCTTACAATTTCTAAGGAAGATATTGCACGCCTTTCCCAACCAAATTTATTCATTTATTGGTCTATCCATTGCAAAATCACAAAATGAAATCCCGAATAAAGTACACCAGGGAAGAAAAAGGCAACGGCCAAGGTTTTTCCGAGGAACCTTCGTCAAAAAAGCCAAGCCATAAAGCGCTGTAACACCTATTCTATTCCACGGAAAGTGATAAATAAAAAAGAAGAAAAAAAGAAAAAAAAGAGGAAAAGAAAAACTTTAAGTCGAATTAAGTAATTCTTCATTGACCTCGTTTTTTTTCGGAGGTTAATAAGACCACACGGTGCGAGGAACATGTTGGTGAAACTGTCATTATTCACTCATTCCCAAGATTCGTTTCTCGTTTATCTCAATCCATCATTTATTATTTTTTTTTACAAGGCTACGTGGGGATATCTTTTTGCTTACTGATATCATCTCTGTTCTCTAATTCTGCAGGAGTCATATTGCACGGTAATTTTGGTTTGTTTATCCTGTAGTTGATGAACATCTGTATGAAGGACATGCATGAGATACTTATGCTTATGATCCAAGCTACAGGTGATGTTTAACAGTCACTTCCAAACATACACTTTGCCATGAATAGACTGTGATATTTTCATTTCTGAGAAGTACCCTATATTTACAAAGAGCATATTTTAGTCACTGTATTGTCGCCATTTAGGGTATAGGCTTACTTTTTTATCAATACTTTTACTACTATGGTCACTGTCCATAGCTTGCATTGCCTATTACCTTTATTAATT